GGTTCTCACCAAAAGTTCAAAATAAAGCACCATCATGTAACCAATTTGAATCTCACTTCTTTGTCCTTACCAAAAATTGAATTTTGATTTTCAAGAGAATTCTGGTAACATGCAGGTGTTGGTTGTCTGAATTGGTCTTTTTACAATGGCTTTCTGTTAAAGCTTAAAAGTCTAATCTTGAGTTTTTAGGTAAAATTTAGAAACAAGAGAAGGGTTTTGGGTGTTCTGGTTGAAGTTGAAATCTTCTTAAATTTTAGTGAATGAAACTTTGACAATAATTTGTCTAGTATCTAAAGCTAACTGAAAGCAACTGAGAGAACACAGATGGAAGGACAATCCTAGGTGGGGAGAGGGTAAGAAGAACCTTGAGTGTGAAGGCCCGCCCATCACGACCATCTCCTAATAGTACTGTCAGGAGTTTTTTGTCTGCTTTGACAACAACACTAGAAATTGAGTACATCATTATTAGATAGAATATTGTTCATTATAATAGTACAAACAGTAAGAAATGACAAATGATGTTTTTTTCAGAAAAAACAAGCAGACCTGCCTGAATTGTTGAGGTCAATGCCACCAAGAGTCAAATTCACTTCACCCCCCTTTTGAGGAGCAGCACTCTGAAAAAAGAATAGTGTGTAATCTTCTAAAACATAACAGTTCAGCAACCAGACACATGCACATGCAGAGCAGATAGAGATGAGAGTGAAAGCTGAGAAGGTGTCTTAAGCTGGCGTCAATGTTAGAAAGAGAGCTAATACGAACAGGTTCATAACACATTAAACTGATAATGATAATCAGTAATCGACTTTTTCAACTTTTGCCTGAAGTTATTCCCAATAGCTACTTTTAAGGGCGCCCTTGAACTCAGAACCCCCATGTAGTGAATTGTCATACCACTCTAGACACAACAAACATGCACCTACACTAGGATACACTACCAACCAGATAACATGTGTAGAAACGCTTACAGGATCGCTTCTGAAGAAAACTAGTGATGTTTGTGTCAAAATAAACCATCTTTTCTTCCATGATGTCCATCCAATCCCTGCATCCCAAGAAAAAAAAATGGGTGGAAGACTAATAAAAACTTAGGGGTCCCCATAACACAGATTGAGTATTGATGTTACAAGTAAACCTCGCAATAGATACATTCTAATAAAACTTAAAGTATTGATATGGCCAAAGAAAATTTAGTAAATAAAACTTAAGACCATACAAAGTGAAACACACCTTTGGATGAAATGAAAAGTGACCCACTCTTGAAAACCTGCAAATAAATTCTAAACTTGAGAATACACAAATTCTAATAAAAACTAGTTATGCCACGAAGATACAAAACATTTCACTCTCTTGCATCTACCTCCTCCAAATAAGTTAACTTCTAGGATGCTTAACTAAGTGTAACTAACAGTTTCTCAGGTTAACCAAACAAAAGAGAACAAAGCTATTTGCCGAGAAAAACTATATCTTCCTATGAATTGAAACAAATGATTCAAAATTTTTTAACCAGAGCCCCGAGCATATTCATATGAATAATCCAATAGACGTGACCATAAATATGATTATTATGAGTTTAAATATATATCGGTTATGAATTCCATAACCATAACTGGAGTGGAGGAAAAACAACTTACATTGTTGCCACTACGAGAACGCTGGTGATCAGGTGGATGAGGTTCTGGACGAGGTGGCGGAGGAGGAGCTTCAGCCTCTCCCTAAAAAACAAGCATCGAAAGCATTCTCAACACAGATATCTCATCAAATATCACTATGTATGTTAATTAATTCGCTAAATCAATCGTTTCGTATGCAATTGAAATTAGACTTTCCGATTTCCTACCTGTTGTACCAGGGACGGTTCTTCCTTTTTGTTAGCCATACTCTGATCTCAAAAATCATGAAAATCACATCCCAAACGATCACCGATCACCGACGAACAGCCTCTCTGCGCCAACTTCCGCGTCAATCTATCTCCAAAATTCCATCCAAACACAAACACATTCAAACGAAAACCTTCTTTTCGAATTCAAATCAAAACATCACCCAAAAAAAATCAAAAAAAAAAAAAAAAAAACAAGCACGTTGAACCAATCTTACGGAGAGAGAACAGTGGATTAAAAACACTGAATCGAGAATGTTGAAATGTGGAGAAATTGGATGGGAAGAAGAGGAGAAAGCGTAAAGGTGAAACAGAGAAAATTTGGTTTCGTTTTCTTTCTTTCTTTCTTTCTTTCTTTCCTCTTTTGCTCTTTCGGTGCTTTCCCGAGAAATCTTTCCTGAAATGAAAACCCATTGGTCTAGGAAAGAAAGTCCCCCCAGAGAATAGGGCGGGGCATGCGGCAGCTGGACACGTCACCCGCGTTCTTAGTTTAATTTCTCCGGATTTAATGTCATTTGGAGGGAAAAGCCAAAAGCGTGCTGCTAAACTGCTAATGGCACTCCCAGTAATTTTCGTTATTTCTACTGTTGGGCTGGGCTCTTAGGTGTTTCTAACTTTTTAAACGTAGTCTCAACAGGGGAGCAATTGGGTCAGGTTATACCTATGACCCACATCGATTATTAATCAATTAAGAGCCTGCATGGTTACCAAACAGGGCCTAAGTAATATTTTTAATTAGTCTTGTTAGGCCGCTAGCCAATTATCCTCTTCTTTTCAGAACTCCTTTTTTTCTCCTTTTTTTTTTTTTCACGAATTATGAATTATGAATTATATTTTTTTAACTTGTGTAATTATCTAAAAAATATAAAAACTAATATTATTTTTAATATTAGTGTTAAATGTGTAAATTTAATTAAATATTTGATAATTTTAAAATTAATTTTTATTTTTTCATATAAATTTATGATAAAAATA